CCATGACAGGCAAAATAACCCAAATTCTTACTGTTAATTATTGACTGTGTAACTCCAAAAACGGCGCACCAATCTCCTCTTGCATTTTGCGTACTTTCATTGAAGTTTCACCACCCAGACCCAGTTCCTACCTCGCCGGTCTTCTCAGTGATGTCATCCAAACTGAGCGTGATGACCTTTCCTCTGGCTCCGATGAAGAGCAGACCGATGTCTTCCCTGACCAGCATGGAGCTCAAACCGTCAAAGTCAGGCTCCTTAAACAGCTTCAGGTTAACATCTGAGGGAAGGAATCCAACCGGCATCCTCAGATTACTTTTGAAATCAGAGCATTTTCATAAACCTCTGAATTTAGGTTAGTTCTCTGCATTTTATTGAGAGACATGAGGGGGAAGACAGCATCTTCATGCTACACTAGTATTATTTCCACCCTTCCCAAGATGCCTGAATTTTGTTTACAATATGACAAAATGTGGAAAAGTTTATTGGTGTGAATATTTCTGCAAGGGTCTGGACATTTAATTGTTGTTGCAGGGATGCCTCATGTCAGGATTGTGTTTTCATGTTTAAATGTTTATTATCTTAATCATATCGCTTTTATTGATATGATGTGCTAAAATAATTTATCTGAAAGTTGTTTTTTATCTAGGCATAGACATGCACACACCTGCACATATCATGCTGGAACTGACTTGTCAGGGGAACGTCCTCTTTAGGGCATAACTTAGGTGCCTAAAAGGAGTTTAATCCTGTTGTTCGGGCCACTCTGCGTTTGCTTCCTTCAGGACGCATGGCAGTGGTCCAGCGCTGAAACGGTAAACTATTTCTCTGTTGTTTTTATACATTGTCAATACTTATTTGGCTTTAATAAATTGGACTGTTGATTTTAACTCTGTGTCCTTGGTCATTTGAGACAATCCGCCTCCCACAAAAGAGTCCAGGTGGAACGCTCACCTGAGAAGAAAACGCTCTGGCGGGGTTTCAGGCTTTGGGCTGATCCCTCACTCATAATGACCAGGACATAAAGGAGCGCTACCTGGCTCTTCATCATAACCTCAGACAGGAAGGAAAGAAAAACAAAAGTGTTTTCTAAAACGGTTATGGAAACAGCAGCGTGTCCTGTTTCATAATTGAACATCACAGCTTCTGATAGCCAGAAGGTCTCAGCTGAAAGGTCTCAGAAACATCATGGATTTATAAATCATGAAATTATCTTATTTTCCTCAGGTCTTTTGATGATCATCTTTTACATTGGTAAATGATTTACAACTTAGGTAATGCACCTCACAATAAAACATGTAAGTGAAGCTCTGCATTATATTATTTATAAGGCATGCATGTCTAAGAAGGGCATTCTTGAACATTTCATTTTGTAAAATAAAAAAGTTTTGATTGCTTACCTGTTTGGGTGGTTATGTAGAGGCAACTTACTTCTCATAACTCAGAGGAACCAAAACATGTTTATTTTTAAAAGCAGGGGCTGCATCCTTTGAAGGCCGGGTTTGTAGGCCGATTGCATCATAGCGTGGCAACACGGACTGTCTGAATTCAAAGACTCCAAAGACTTTTCCACATGCGTCCGGACATAGCTCTGTGGCTGTCAGCTGAAATGTCTCAGAAACATCATTGATTTATAAATCATGAAATGAATCTCTTAAGTTTATTTACCTTTCCATTAGCATGTTTAGCATCTATAATCGCTTTACAACTTAGATAATTCATAAAACATGCAAGATCTGCATTACATAATTTAACCCTCCTGTTGTCCTCGGGTCAAAAGGACCCGAGGACAACAGGAGGGTTAAACAGCATGTATGCCTAAGAAGGGGATACCTGAGTACGGTTGATTAAAACATTTCATTTTGTAAAATAAAAAAGTTTTGATTGCTTACCTGTTCGGGTGGTTATGTAGAGGCAATTTACTTCTGATAACTCAGAGGAACCAAAACATGTTTATTTTTAAAAGCAGGGGCTGCATCCTTTGAAGGCCGGGTTTGTAGGCCGATTGCATCATAGCGTGGCAACACGGACTGTCTGAATTCAAAGACTCCTCCAAATGCGGCCACCACATGCGTCCTTTCACCAGATTTGAAGGATGGGTCCGGTGTATCCTTCATGGCCTTCCATATGCAATGGTTCCAAATTGGGTGTTCAGACAAGGTGGCAGTGGAATTACCATTTCATACTGTGATAAAGCTAGCTCCAAAACAAACAATGTAGGAAATATATACAACATAAACATAAATATGGTGGTGATTACAAGATTAAATCTGTTAATCTATATGTACATACACACATGCACATATAATACACATAGAATCATCATATAATTATAAAAAAGTGTTTGCTTCTTTATGGGATTGTTAGCATATTAGCATCTTAATACCTAAAATGAATTGATATTTCCATAGTGAATACTCAATCATTTGCAGCAAATGGTGCATCTGTAGCCATGAAAAATACTTAGAAGATCATTATGTGAAAATCCCAGCTCTACTGGGCTCAACTTCAATTCCATTTAGGGCTGATCTGGGCATTACATATATTATTTAACTGATTAATATTTGAATATCAAAAGGTGTTTTATAGACTTTTATTTATTTATCTACAGAAACTGAACCAGATGAAGCTAAAACTGCCACCAGAAGAGTTGTGTCTCGAAAAGATTGCAGACAAGGTTTTTTTTTTTTATGTTAAACACAAAATAAATATATTTTTGTAGTTTCTTTTAATTAGTGCTCATTGTTGTTATTTTAACAAATTGGCTTTTAGAATCGTGGAACGTCACCTCTCTGGTGGGGAAGGAGCTACTGTGCGAGGCTGAGAGGTTCCGGTTAGAAATAGTCGGCCTCATCGCGACGCATGGCTCTGGTTCTGGAACCAGTCTCCTTGAGAGGGGGTGGACGTACTTCCACTCTGGAGTTGCCCGCGGTGAGAGGCGCCGGGCAGGAGTGGGCATACTTGTTGCCCCCATCTTGGCGCCTGTACGTTGGGGTTTACCCTGGTGAACGACAGGGTAGCCTCCCTCCGCCTACGGGTGGGGGGACGGGTTCTGACTGTTGTCTGTGCTTACGGGCCGAACAGCAGTTCAGATTACCCACCCTTCTTGGAGTCCTTAGAGGAGGTACTAGAGAGTGCCCCTCCTGGGGACTCCCTTGTTCTGCTGGGGGACTTCAACGCTCACGTGGGCAATGACGGTGAGACCTGAAGGGGCGTGGTTGGGAGAAACGCCCCCCCGATCTGAACTCGAGTGGTGTTCTGTTGTTGGACTTCTGTGCTCGTCACGGATTGTCCATCACGAACACCATGTTCAGGCATAAGGGTGTCCATATGTGCACTTGGCACCAGGACCCTCTAGGCCGCAGTTCGATGATCGATTTTGCGATCGTTTCATCGGATCTGCGGCCGTATGTCTTGGACACTCGGGTGAAGAGAGGTGCGGAGCTGTCCGCTGACCACTACCTGATGGTAAGTTGGCTCCGGTGGTGGGGGAGGAAGCCGGTCAGACCTGGCAGGCCCAAACGTGTAGTGAGGGTCTGCTGGGAACGTCTGGCGGAGTCCCCTGTGAGACGGAGCTTTAACTCCCATCTCTGGCGGAACTTCGAACACGTTCCTGGGGAGGTGGGGGACATTGAGTCTGAATGGACCATGTTCCGTACCTCCATTGCCGAGACAGCTTATCGGAGCTGCGGCCGCAAGGTTGTTGGTGCCTGTCGCGGCGGCAACCCTCGAAACCGTTGGTGGACACCTTCGGTGAGGGATCCTGTCAAGCTGAAGAAGGAGTCCTATTGGGCCTTTCTAGCCTGTGAGACTCCAGAAGCAGCTGATGGGTACCGGCGGGCGAAGCGGCGTGCGGCTCGGGTGGTCGCTGAGGCAAAAACTCGGGCGTGGGAGGAGTTTGGAGAGGCTATGGAGAAAGACTTCAGCACGGCTTCGAGGCGATTCTNATATATATATATCTTGTAAAAAATTACTTTAAATTCAGATACTAGACTGTCTTTCTTCTTACATTTTTTTAACTTCATGTGTCTTAATGTTGAATCTTGTGAATGATGGTGATATTTTCAGAAGTTACATCATCTCTCCTCCACCTCTAAGGGAAAAGCTGCAGACTTTCTTATTGACCTTTTTTGTGCTTGCTTTCTCTGAGACTGTATGTTGCAAAATACATCTTGTCTAGTAGAAAATCTGGAGATTTGTTTTATTTATTCAAGAGAAATCTTGGTCCTGATGCAGTAATACAGGCTGTAAAAATACAAGACATGAAGAAGAAATATGATGCAAAAAAGAAGTATAAAAACGGCTTTTAAACCATTTAGCTGTGGTATTTTAGGTTTGCTAAACTAGCAGTATATTTCATAACATGTTTCACTTCATCTGCTGCTTATTGTATACTTTAAGATTAAGGAAATGCATAATTTAGGAGTCAGGCTCAGTATTGGCACTTAAAACCACTCTTGGCAAGGTCTCAAACATTGCTGGAGGTTTTGTCTGTTGGAGATGGGTGAGCACTTTCTTTAGGAATTAAGAGTATCACATTAAAAGAAGGTTACAGCGAGCCCTTGATTCAAGTGGGAGAACATAAAGACTTCAAACACAGGATCAAAGTGACGGAGTTGTGGTTTTGAAGAGAGCAGAAAGAAAGGGCCAGAAGGGGGGCAACTCATTCAAGGAGAGTCCAGAGACGAAGGGAGAAAAATGATTCCAACAAAGGATTCAGTTCAGACTTATCAGTAATTAGTATACTGCTTTCGAAGTTTAAAGAGGATCCTCACATTCAGTCAGTAGATGGGCAAAAAGGTACTTTTTATTTTTTGTTGGATGTGTTAGAAGAGCAACTTATTCCAATGTTACTACCTATTTAACAAGATTTATCTCAAAGTTTTCAGACTAATTTTAAAGGGATCCCCAACTAGTTTAACATGTTGGCGTAAATGTTGCATTTTTTCTATTAACCTACAAGTTTGTAATGCATAAAAACTCCTATTTACTTCAAAAATTGTCATTATTATATTCTTCACCTACGCAGGTTGCCATTTTATCAACTGTGCAATACATGCTGAGTCAATGATTATATTAGATTATATTGGACTGAAATCTGTAAACAAAATGTAATGTTATGCATATAACTATTGTTCCCTGAACGAGAGGAACGAGGTTCAACACAGAGTATGGGATATCACGCCCCTGTGTGGCCTAACTGAGGACACCTTTAATCATGCCTTTAGACAAATGACGTGTGATGACGGGTGGCAGGGCCGCCTGCGTATAAATACACCCCCATCACAGTCATCATTCAGTTTGATGGCAGCTCTTCCCCAAGCCAAGCTGAACAGCGGGGCAGATAAAGGTGTTGTACCTCATTCCTCTGCTTCAGGTAACAGTAGTTATATACATAACATTACGTTCCCTTTCAGTTGATTCACTCAGTACAAGACATAGAGTATGGGAGCAACCATCAAACCTGAGACAAATGCGCTGAGTTAGTTTGAAATCTCCAACCCAGCAGAAAGAACAGAGTGAGCCACAGAAGTGGCTGTCACATCCAGACTATAAAACCGAAGAAAAGTGTGTGGTGAAGACCAGCTGGCTGCAGCGCAGATGTCACTCACAGGGACCCCTTTGAAAAGGGCCCAGGATGCTGCTACACCCCTGGTTGAATGTGCTCTCACACCATGAGGTAAAGGGAGGCCCTTGCTGTTGTAAGCAAGAAAAATAGCTTACATGACCCAATGAGAGAGTCTCTGTCTGGACAGAGCCTTGCCTCTAGCTGGATTGGCAAATTGTCCCCTTCGTCCTTGGACGAAACCGGATTCCTAGACTCAGAAATCATGGGGTCTTTTTGTGACACTGTAGGCTGTCCCTGCACTTTCTTGACCCTCTGTTCAAGCATGGAGTGCCAAAGCTGGCTACATAAAGCACAAGCGTCTGGCTCCGACAATGCTCTTCTGGCGTGGACAATTCCAAGGCAGACAGGGCATGCTTCGTGCTGGTCTTTTTTGTGAAGCGTGAAGCTGCACTCCTGAGGACAGGGGCGAACGGAAGATTTCTGCTTCGCCATTTTTTGCTTCGTGGTCATCCTGAATCACGAAACCAAAGAAAATAAAAATAGACAAATGATAAAATACAACTATCGCTCAGCGGGCAGACACGCTAACCAGCAGGCAGCAGAAGCTAACACCAACAGGAGCAGTTAAGCTACTTTTGGAAAAACAAGAGCGATGCTAGCTAGCAGCAGCTAGGAAGCACAGATTAGAAGTTAGGTGTTCTCAGTGAGGTGACGAGCATAAGAACTGAATGACTGTGATGGGGGTGTATTTATATGCAGGAGGGGCCTGCCACCTGTCATCACACGTCATTTGCCTAAAGGCATGATTAAAGGTGTCTTCAGTTAGGACACACAGGGGTGTGATATCCCATACTTTGTGTTGTACTGAGTGAATCGACTGAAAGGGAACACAAGAAGTCAGACAGTCTGAACATCTGAATCGAAGTAAACTGCCTCAGTTTTATTGTACTGTTATACATGAGTTATGTGCTGAAACAAGCGAACGTGATTAACTTGTGCTCTACTGTTAACTATCTTACCTATAGCTAATGCCAGATCAAAACAAACTGAAAGATGGTGACTAGACATTTAAAGTGAAAATGTAGCATCTTTCAATCATTGTAATAAACCATTGCGATATATTTGATAAAATGTGTTAATGCCAATGCAGATTATAGAAAGCTTGAGTTAGAAACTGGAGCTCTTTGCAGCATACAACCTCCCTTCAACTTGGCATTTCCAAGTAGCAGCAGCAGCACAAGCACCAACTTTTCGGCTGACTCTCTTCCTCCTCATCATCATTTCTGCTTGTCTTTTCTGCATTGCCTTCCATTTCAACAAGCTCTGAAATAAATGTTCCTCAAACAAAAACATTTTCACAACTAATTGTAAACATGGCTGTGCTCACCTGGTGGAGTTGTATACTTTTCATCTGGCAATACATGAGAAGGAAGGAGTCACAATCTCATTATTATAGATGATGTGATTCAGTTACAGCAGTGGTCCCCAACCTTTTTATCTCCACGGACTGGTCAAGGCTTGGCAATTTTACTGCGGCCAGGACTGGGGTGCAGTAAAATTGCCCTCCCACTCCAATTGTCGCAGATTATCGCAAACGACAATCTTCTTATAAGATTTTCGCTTGTGATTATTGTAACCGATTCTCCTGGTCTGTGAGGCGTGTCACGACTGATCTGGTCCAGTTGGTAGAATATTGGGACCACTCCGATCTAACATCGGGCATATTCAACATTGTCTTGGCCCGATTATCGCAGCCTGTGGGATTTTCCCTGACTGGGAGTGAGAACACAGCCTGTTTCATGTGACAGGTATCCAAT